GTGTGTCTGTGTCTGTGTGCATGCATCAATGTGTGCAACTTCTTGTAACCAGCTGTTGATTGTTGAGGTGTTGACCCAGATGAAACTCATTGTGTGACATAATGACATCCTAAACTCTTGTTTAAAACATGTGTTTTTGTGTACTTGTATAAAAGAGGTGTGGAGCACTCCAATCTAACAGCTAATGTTTTAAACAGCTCTGAGCTAAGGGCCATAATCAGCTGACTTATATAAGCCTAATATATTTGGTTTTGGTGTATTCCCTACATGATGTTACTAAAGTACCTAATAGCTTTATATTTCCAGAGATATTTTGTCTACCATTCTGTCTTCTCTGGCATTGTAAAGGGAAACATAGATCCCTCTCAAAGAGCATACCATGGGACCATGTGGCTCATTTATTAAAGATACTCCAGACTCCAGAATCCAAGTCGCGCACGATGAAAAATTTATATTTGTGCCAAATTCAGTGGAGCAGTCTGATTTTACTCCAGCTCTCTGATATAACAGCAGCCAAAACAAAATGAATTCCATAATTTTTGTAGTGGTTTTGGCATATTCTTTTAAGATAATGATCCAGTGAAACAAACCCTAAATAAAATCTGTCATATTCATAGTAAAAATACTTATTTGGAATAATTTTCTCACCATGTGATACTTTAAATCGAAATCTAATGCTCTTCCATCGCTCTCCCTTCCCGTTCTGCAGGTTGACGTGTCATCATGACAACAGAGGTGGGCTCTGAGACAGAGGTGAAGGAGAAAGCCGAGGAGTCAGCCGCTCAGCCGGACCAATCAGAGAAGGCCAGGGAAGAAACCCAGGAAGTAGCGAACGCTGAGGGAGAGGAGAAGGAGAAAGAGAAGGAGAAGGAGAAAGAGGGGAAAGAGGGAAAAGGAATATCTCGATACCTGCCAACATGGCTTAAGAAGCAGAAGTCTCTCCAGGTAAAATTCTGATTATAATTATATAATATTGTAATGGCTGAAACACTGGTTAAATTATTAAGCAGCAATTATTTAATGTACCAATCATAACCCTCTGGTTGGGTCTTACATGTCTGTTTTTTCCCCCCTGACCCATGAAGACCTCCCCAACCAAGGAGGTCTCATCCACAGAGGAAGCCGTTAACAAGGTGACACAGGAAGAAGAGGGGCCTGCCCCAGAAGTGAACGGCCACGCAGAGGAAGTGGAAGAGAAAGAGGCAGTGAGGTCTGAGCAAGTGAAGGAAAAAGAAGCAGAATCTCACTCCAACGCCAGCGCCGACACTGAGGTATCAGTCACACCTGGCCCGATTTCTCCCCACACCCCATCAGTGCACACGCTGGAAGATAAAGTAGACAGGTTTTCTCCCGTTAGTCTGAATGCAACTTAACTTTTTCGGACCAACAACCAGCTAGCCGGCTAGCTTAGCTTAACATAAAGATTGGAAGCAGGGGTAAAGGACTAACCTGGCTCTGTTCCAATGTAATAAAATCCACAGCACCACTAAAGCTCACTTATTTACATATTATATCTCATTTGTTTAAAACGCACAAAAAAACAGAGCGTAAGAACAAGAAGTTATTGTTTTTTTGTTTTGTTTTTTAAGGCAGTCTAGTGCACAGTCCCTTCCTGGATTGTTATTGTCACAGTGAGGTTGTCAAGCAGTCAGCAAGAGAGTCAAGGAAGTTACTGCTCCCAGCCAAGAAATAGTCCGGTATACGTGAATATAGTATCAACCTTCTCATCTAATTATCGGCAAGAAAGGAACATTTCCTAAAATCTTGAACTATTCCTTTAAAAGCCAGTGAATGTATACTGCAGTAGCTTGGATCATCTATAACTGTACTGCTCTTCAGGGGACATGCCTTTGTTGTTTACTCAGATTAAACAACAGCAGTTATGTACTGTACATAAATGTACACAGAATGGCTGGACCATTTGAGATTATATTGTCAATGTAGTGTATGATGATATCACAAGCAGATTAACTCGGTAACCACATAGGTGAAAGCAGCACCAAGCTTATATCCTTACAGTAAACTGGTGAAAGGTATTTTGCCTAAACAAATGTCCCTCTTTTGCCTCAGCCAAGAGAGAAAGAAACATATTTGCACACACACACACACACACGAACCATTCTTCCTCATACACATGCACACACATAAACTGTTCCATCCAGTGATCACATTAAGGCACCCAGGCCCACCCAGTGACATCAACATTTCAGTAATCAGGCCAAAAGAAACGCCTGCAGTTTCTAAGAGCAGATTCAGACTAGAGGGGGAATTACGAAAGGAGAGTGATAGAGAGAAGCCAGTGTTCCCGCTTACTTAGTTTGGGCAAACAGTCGGATTTTAGGTGATTTCCTTCATGCTGACCACTTCTGACTTTTTTAAGAAGATTGTACGTTTTTGCATGACGTCCACAGTGTGTGTGTTGTGTGTGTAGCTGTAGTTTGACACAAGTTTTCTCCTTTTTTTTTTTCTTTTTTTCTTTGCAAACTCCGTCAGCCTGCCAAGGAAGAGAAGGTGGAAGAGAGTGCTGAGAAAAGTCCTGAGGTGACAACAGAGGGAGAAGGAGCAGAGGAGCAGAAGAAGGAGCAGGAAGGAGAGGTGGAAGGTGTAGAGGAGGGAGAAGGAGAAGGACAGACCTCCATTTTCCAGTCTCCTCTTCGCTTGGTTAGGAAGACCAAGATGAAACTGGTGGTGTGTCACGTGAACCTCCTGGACGGGACTGACTTCAGCTGTGAGGTGGAGGTAAGACAAAAAAAAAACCAACAACAACTCAGTGATCAGACGCACACACAATGTAGAGCGTGAGCATGGGTGTGGGGGAGAAATGAAGTTGGGGAGGGTAAATATTTGTGAATATCTGCAGTTTTTAAATTAGATCATTCAAATTTACTTCCTCAAAAGGTCTTGGGTGCAGCTCATGGGAGCATTTCCACAACATTTATTTTATAAATGAATTTTGTTGACACCTTAATCCTCCAGCGTTCTGTCATGCAGCTGCAAATAGTTAAAGCAGCCTTCCCACCTTTCCTTTACATCTGTTCAGACAAAAAAGAGAAGGGAATTGAGCTTAGGTCTGTTCCGATCTCATGTGATCAAACCAATGTGCCATGGCTGAAGCATACTAAATTGCAGAATGCGAAAGAACATCGAGAATGTTTGTAGCGATAATGTTTTCATGTCACGGTGGAAGATAAAATAGTCCCTTTAACTAGCTACCGACAGACAGAACCGACACAGCGTCCGTCAAACGTTCCTTTGCTGGTCAAGTAGGCCACACGTGAGTGCCAGTGTGTCAATGATGTAATCGCTAATAGGATCAGATCTAGTGTGAGTATGTGTGTGTGTCCGTGTCTGTACGTATGAGCATGAGGGTGTTTAACTTTTTGACTCAAAGTGCAGTTATGGCAAAAGCACCCGCTCACAGTGTCTGGGCGTGGTTTAGGGGATAAATGCAGAGCAAAGCAGAGCGCACTACAGGGGCTTGTCTGGTGACCAGAACACACACACACACACAAA